TATATATATATATATATATATATATACATATATATATATATATATTCAAACAAAAACAATAAATATGAGTTATTAGCACTGATCAACAACTGAGCTAATAAGTCCTTTTTTTTTTTGAAGTAATTATAGATTATCTCTTATAACTAATTATTTTTAACATCTTAATTTTTATATTTTTAAAATTTATATTGAAATCTCTGTATTTACAAAAGTGAAGCATTTAACTCGTTGTTCCAACAAAACCTTTCACCATTTTTTTGATTTTTTAATATTATAAAAATATTAATATTTTATTTTTATAAGTATAAAAATTTTGATATAACTCTTGAAAATATAAGAATCTAAATATTAAAGGTAAATAATTATAAGAAGTAATATGTAATTAGTTCATTTTTATATATCATATGATATTAAATGTATTATTTTATAATTTAAAAACTTCTAATTATATCCTTTTAAGAGCTCATTATGATTATCTTAATCAGGTCTTTTTCATTAAAAAAATATTAATTTTGTCTCTATAAAGAAAAATAATTGGTTTGATAACTTATCATGTTACAATTCTTATGTATATAAAGTCCATGCAAATCTTCCAACTAAAAGAAAAGGAAAACGTTACATTTCCTCTCCATCGGTCCCTCTCCTCTCAATCTCTCCACCTAAACTTGAAGGTTTCAGCTCCTAACAATCTCCCTTATTTTTTGGGCTAACTTTCCTCAGCTTCCCTTGCAATCCATGCAGCATCTGCTCCAAGGAGTTGATCTCCCCCTCCGTCCTCACCTTCCCATTCCCACCTCCCTCCATTCTTTCACGTACGCGATGCACGATCCCCGCGCTCGCCGCCGCCACCTCCGCGGCCTCCAAAACGATCCTCGCGTTCTCCTCCTGGGCATCCCTTAGCCACCTCTTCACCGTTCTGTACGCATCCAACGACTTGAGGAGCTGCTCCGACAGTGCCTTGTTCCGCTCCTGCAGCACCGAGTTGAGCTGCGACTGCCCGCCGTTCTTCTTGTGCTCCGACGCGCACGCCTTGACCTTCTCCAGAAGCACCTCGTTCTGCGCCCGGAGGTCGTCGACGAGCTCCTCCGCCTCCGCCAGCTCCCGCGCCTTCCTCGTCAGCTCCGCCGCCATGATCTCCTTCTCCTTGCCCAGGCTCGAGAACATCCTCTCCAGGTTCCTGCGGGCGGTCATGTTCGCGAACAGCTCCCGCCGTAGCTTCTGGACCTCGTCAGCAGCGGGGTCGAGGGGCTTCTTCTCCCTCGGAGGCGCGCCACGGCGGAGGTCGGTGTTGCACCGGCGGAGCTCGGCCTCTCCCCTCCGTGGAGGCTGCAGTTTCTGGACCTGAGACTTCAGACCATCGAGGACCGTCATCATCCCGGTGACGCATTGTGGTCTGCGCCCACCGCCTTCTGTGTAATCATGTATCAACCTCAACAACGACTTCACATTCTCTGCGACGACATCAAACACAGCAGAGTAAGGAGATAACAAGATGAAATGAAGGAAGAAGAACAGATATGTAACATTCTTCACCTTCCAAGGTGGCTTCGTTTGGATGATCTACACCACTCGGAGGAATCAACTGGGGGGACGAATTCACACGCAAACCGTTCATATCTGCAGCAAATTCTGATGGAGAAAGAAGATGAAAACTCTTCTTCTGTTGAATCTAGAGTGAGACAGAAGAAAGAAAAAGCCTTCAATGGTACCTTATGGTTGGAGAAAAGACAAGAGATTGGTATACTTAATATAATCGTAGCACATCTGTCTACCAGCAAACAAGGAAGAGGGAGGCCTTTCTGTTCTCCTCCTCCCTTCTCACTTCAAGGTTTCATCTGCCTTCCCTGTGTGTAATTTATGTGTTCTTTTGTTACAAGTATTTTGTGATGGACAATTGATGATAGATTTGGACTTCTTCTGAGGCAGTTAGGGGGTTGACTTATTTATAGAATGTTCAGTTTGACTTTGACTTCTATGTTTAGGGGGATGTTAGATACTGGTTTAATGACGTTTGCAGAAGATGGACAAGATTGAATGGTTGAGACAGGTTCATCTACAGAGAGCAGTTTCCAATGGAATTCGTCAAAGAACAAACTAATAGAATGGATGATTAACAAAAGGATTATTCCTAAGTATAACCTTACATAATAGAATGGATGACAGGAACAAACTTGATCTTAGATCAATGTTAACATACACAGGATAATTAAAATAATACCACTAATAATAAGAAATCAAACTTGATCATCGCATGTCGTAAGCAATGACAAGAAAGAATCCATGTTTAAGATCTCTCCTATGATTGATTAGTGTTTTGGGTAGCAGCTCACGTTAGGAAAGATCGAGCACCCCAATGTTTTCTTCTTGTTATTTGCATTTGGAAGCTTCTCTCTCTCTCTCTCTCTCTTAGCCATTTATATAAACAGCTTCTCTGTCTCTGATGCAAGCCATGACACGTTTCCTTAGCCATTTCCTAAGCAGATCTTGGATCTTCCAAGAGATCGCCATTGGAATTGGATCCCCACATCAGAACAGATCGTTGACACGAAGCCTATTTTATGTGCATGCACGTCTTACAACGCAGACTACACGAACGTACCACCTCTATATAAGCTCCCAAAGACTAGAGAGAGAGCGAGGGAGCATCGAGCGAGAACATCAATGGCGGAGACGAAGGATTTGGTGCTGCTGAACTGCTGGGTGAGCCCTTACGGGATGCGCTGCCAGATCGCGCTGGCGGAGAAGCGGGTGGAGTACGAGCACAAGGAGGAGAACGTGATGGAGAAGAGCCCGCTGCTGCTGCAGTCCAACCCCGTGCACAAGAAGATCCCGGTCCTCGTCCACGGCGGCAAGCCCGTGTGCGAGTCCCTCGTCATCGTCCAGTATGTGGACGAGGCGTGGCCGGACCGCGCGCCGCTGCTGCCCGTCGACGCCTACGGCCGCGCCCAGGCCCGCTTCTGGGCCGACTTCGTCGACAAGAAGGTTTGCTACTGCATGCTTTCACTACTTCGCCTTCCTGCGTCTGTTTCCGCCATGCGATATCTCCAGCATGCGTTTGTAGTACTCGTAAGCATGCTTTCTATTCTCTGGTTGTCAGATCTTTGAGTGTGGGACTAAGCTATGGAAGCTCAAGAAAGAGGCACAAGGAGAGGCGAAGGAGGAGTTCACTGAGGGACTCAAGCTCCTGGAGGACGAGCTGGGGGAGAAGAAGTACTTCGGCGGCGACGCCTTCGGCTTCGTCGACATCGCCCTCGTCCCTCTCATGGCCTGGTTCCGCACCTACGAGTCCTTTGGAAGCTTCAGCGCGGAGACGGAGGCTCCCAAGCTGGTGGCGTGGGGCAAGCGGTGCATGGAGAGGGAGAGCGTCGCCATGTCGCTTCCTGACCCCGCCAAGGTTTACGAGTTAGTGTGCTTCATGAGGAAGATGTTCGGGCTCGAGTGAAGCAGGATTCTTCTGCTGCTGCCTGCAATATTTCTATGTCGTGCGTGTGGTGTGTTGAAGGTGGGAGGTGTTGGCAATTCTCGTCGTCTTCCATCTATTTCCTTGTGATTGTTGAATAGTACGTCCCTATGCCGACAACAAACCATGGACTGAGCTTGCCGTGGTAATCGATTTCTTCTCTCTTTCTTCTTCCTCAAAACCATGGGTTGCAGCTTCCCCGACAACATTTTATTTTCTTTTTTGTTCATATATAATATACTAAATGATCCGATTTATTTTATAATCTTATTATGTCATCTCAAAATTTAGGTCTAACTTTTGATGTAATTATTCTGAAGAAATGATAAATAATCATGATTTATGGATATGCTTAGGTCCTAATAAAAATCCGAATGCTCCTCCAATTCTTTGAATAAAATTATATGATATATATTTTCATTACACCAAATGATATATATGACACTATTGGCTAATTCTATTTAGATTAATAAGTAGAAGAAGGCTCTCTTAGTAATTTATTGAACAGATCTTCCAAGAGCTATCACCATTAAAAGTTGTCTGCATCGCGACCGACGGTTGACCCAATGGCTTGTTAGACCCGACTCACTATCTTATGTGCATGCATGTCTTACGACGCTCAAGTGAATCCCTAAGATTAACCCTTCCTCCCACCTCATATAAGAGAAGAAGAAGAGAGAGCGCGAGGGAGCATCGGGTGAGAACAGTAATGGCGGAGACGAAGGGGTTGATGCTGCTGAACTTTTGGCCGAGCCCCAACGGGATGCGCTGCCGGGTGGCGTTGGCGGAGAAGGGGTTGGAGTACGTGTACAGAGAGGAGGAGAGCATATTGGAGTGCAAGAGCCGGCTGCTGGCGAAGTCCGACCCCGTGCGCATGAGAGTCCCTGTCCTCCTCCACGACGGCAAGCCCGTGTGTGAGTCCCTCGTCATCGTCCAGTACCTCGACGAGGTGTGGCCCGACCGCGCGCCGCTGCTGCCCGCCGACCCCTACGGCCGCGCCAAGGCCCGCTACTGGGCCGACTTCATCGACAAGGAGGTCCGCTGGCTACTGATTTCACCGCTACGCCTTCCTGTGTTTGTTTCCGCCATTTGAGCTCGTCATCCGCGGCATGTTTGCGTACATGTGGATGTCAATTTAGTCTTCACTGATTGACGCAAGCTACCAATACAACATCAAATTCTTCATGAATTGTCGGATTCTTTTGGCGTGATGATGATGTGTTCTCTCACCATTCGATTTCCTGTCTCATTCGTTAAGAAAGATAAATTTTGTGAGCTTTTCTTAAGCACAAAGCATAGAACTTGACAAGCACGCTTACCTTTTTTGGTCGTCAGATCTTCGGGTGTGGGCTGAAGCTGTGGAAGCTCGAGGGAGAGAAACAGGAGGAGGCGAGGGATCAGTTCATTCGGGCACTCAAGGTCTTGGAAGGTGAGTTAGATGCGAAGAAGTACTTCGGCGGCGACACCTTTGGCTTCGTCGACATCATCCTCGTCCCTGTCGTGGCCTGGTACCGCACCTACGAGCTATTTGGAATCTTCAGGACGGAGATACAAGCTCCGAGGCTGATGGCGTGGGGCAAGCGGTGCATGAAGAGGGAGAGCGTCGCCATGTCGTCGCTTCCTGACCCCCACAAGGTTTACGAGTTCGTGTGCTTCCTGAGGAAGAAGAACCCCGGGTTGCAGCCATTCTAGGCCTTGTGGTTTGATGTTTGTGTGTCGTGTTTGTGGCCACAGTTGGAGCAATTGGAAATTATCGTTGTCTTCCACCTACTTCCTTGTGGTTGCTGAATAAAATACCTCCTGTTTGCTTCATCGTCCTCTTCAAATTTTAGTTATTTCCTTTTCTCCGGTGACAGCCAACATAAGCCAAAGATGTATCTCATCAATAATATTTATGAATAATTGTCTTTATTTTATTTTATTACATACAGACGGGACTTTCTTCACTATCCAAATATCTTCTTGGCATACTCATAGACTTTGAGGGGGTCGCAAAGGGAGTTGGCGACACTTTCCCTCTCCAGGCACCGTTTGCTCCACGCCACCAGCTTGGGGACCGCCTCCTCGACGCTGAACCCGCCGTAGGTCCCGAAGCTGTAGAACCAGGACGTTAAGGGGACGAGCGCGATGTCGACGAAGCCGAAGGCGTCGCCGCCGAAGTACTTCTTGTCCCCCAGCTCGCACTCCAGGAGCCTCAGGCACTCGATGAACTCCTCCTTGGCCGCCTCCTGGGCCTCGCCCTTGAGCTTTAACAGATTCAATGCAGATTCACAGACCTGATGCGTAAAACCATTGAAAGGGAGCTAAGAATATGGCATTCCGGAGAGGAGAACATTAACACATGGAGGTCATCGGTGCACCTTCTTGTCGACGAAGTCGGCCCAGAAGCGGGCCTGGGCGCGGCCGTAGTGGTCGGCGGGAATTAGCGGCGCGCGGTCGGGCCACGCCTCGTCGATGTACTGGACGATGATCAGGGACTCGCACACAGGCTTGCCGTCGTGGATGAGGACGGGGATCTTCTTGTACACGGGGTTGGACTCGAGCAGCAGCGGGCTCTTGTCCCTCGGGACGGTCTCCTCCCTGTACTCATACTCCACCCCCTTCTCCGCCAGCGCGATCTGGCACCGCTGCCCGAACGGGCTCACCCAGAATCCCAGCAGCACCACCGCCTTCATCGCTCTCACTTTGTGTCTCTCCGTCTCTGTCTCTCGCCGCTCTCTCACTCGTTAAATAGAGGGGCAGTGACGCAGAAGATGGTGATGTGGCACGCCACCGCAACCGCCTCGACTTTCTTTCGCGCGTGTTTTTTACCGGATCGTGGTGAATGTACCATTCCGTCACCCATCTCCCTCGTTATTCATGGGTCCCAGCGGCCGGCACTCTCTCCCCCAACGACAAGAGGGGTTGCTTTCTGGGTACTGATCAAGAGAGTGGCACAAAATATAACTCTCTCGAGAGTGAGGTGATCGCATGCGTCACAGCAATTCCTCGAAGCTGCCTTGTGCACCGTCGATTGGGCGATCAACGACCAAGATCTGTTCTTTTATCCGAGTCTTTTATTGTTGGATACACGTTTCTTCTTCCAAATAAAATACCAAAAACTATTTACGATAAAAAAAAGAGAAAAGAATAAGAAACAGGTGAGTCAGCTTCTCATTTCAATCCTTGCTTGGAGCACAAGAACGAATAGGTCAGTACATTTCGATTAGGCTTTCTTCTTCTTTGAATGAATTCAACGAAGGATGGCTTGACTTCTCGACCTCGATACACCTGTGCATCGTGCATTTATATGATGTGACATCATACACTAAAATAAATGGCCCTTTGTTGATAAACGAAGGATAATGCAATTCCACTTCCTTACACGTAACTCGAGCTCCTCTTGGATGGGAAGAGTTAAGCTAATGGTAGAACTCAAGTGATCTATAATCTTTTAATGAAGCACACGTTAGTGTCTATATATTAAGAGAGAGCGAGAGAATTCTTCCTATTCTCTAATGAAAGAATGGTGCAGGTGCCCCATAACACCACCAAGAAGTGATATAGTATTATTCGAGAAGATAACAGAGAGGGCAATTATTCAAGTGGTATACACCACCAACAAGTGTGTATCTCATCAGACACAAAGAAGGCAAACACCATGCAACACACAGTCACTGCTACTACTACTACTGCAGACTACTCGACTCCAAATTTCTTCTTGAGAACGCCGACTATCTCGTAGATCTTGTCGGGGTGTGACAGTGCGTTGGCCACGCTCTCCCGCTCCATGCACCTTTTGCCCCAGGCCGCCACCTTGGGCGCCGCCTCTTCGATGCTGAAGCCGGCGCAGGTCTCGTAGCTGTAGAACCAGGACACGAAGGGGGCGAGCGCGACGTCGACGAATCCGAAGGCGTCACCGCCGAAGTACTTCTTGTCCCCCAGCTCGCCCTCCAGCAGCTTGAGGATCCCGATGAACTCCTCCTTGGCCGCCGCCTGGGCCTCGCCCTTGAGCTTCCACAGCCTTGACCCGCATTCATTGAACTGATACGTGAAGAAGAATAACGTTAAAGGGTGCTGAGAACAAACGGGTGCTGCACAATTGTTCTTACAGGACGAGCAGATCAAATAACGAGTGAGCAGAAGAATCTAGAATTTGTTTATCGATCAAAAAATAGATTATGCAAATATATATCGGGAAGTGGATTCTATCAAACACAGTGGTAATCCGAAGAGGAGAACAAGAGTCGAACACATGGGAGGCATCGGCGTAAGGAGAACGCACCTTCACGTCGACGAAGTCGGCCCAGAAACGGGCCTGGGCGCGGGAGTAGGGGTCGGCGGGAAGCAGCGGCGCGCGGTCGGGCCACGCCTCGTCGATGTACTGGACGATGATCAGGGACTCGCACACGGGCTTGCCATCGTGGATGAGGACGGGGATCTTCTTGTGCACGGGGTTGGACTGCAGCAGCAGCGGGCTCTTGTCCCCCAGGACGTTCTCCTCCCTGTACTCGTAATCCACTCCCTTCTCCGCCAATGCGATGCGGCACCGCTGCCCGAACGGGCTCGCCCAGAAGTCCAGCAGCACCACCGCCTTCATCGCTCTCGTTTTGTCTCTTCGTCTCTATCTCTTTCTCCGCTCTCTCGCTCTATAAATAGAGGGGCGGTGAAGCCGAAGATGACGATGTGGTCTGCGCCTTAAGGTGACCGCTACCACCACGATTTTCTTCTCGCTTGCTTTTTACAGGATCGCCCTTAAGTCCAGCAGCACCACCGCCTCCATCGCTCTCTTTTCGTCTCTCCGCTCTCTCACTTTCCAAATCGAGGGGCAGTGAAGCAGACGATGACGATGTGGGATGCGCCTTAAGGTGACCGCTACCACCACGTTTATTTTCTCGCGTCTTTTGTGAATGTAGCAGTTGTTATCTGGTCATTCTCGTGATTGGTGAGTCCTAGTGGGGGCAACTCGTTCCTCTAATGACACGAGGGGTTGATTTGTGGGTAAGATCAAAAGAGTTTCTCGGGAGTGCAGTGATTGCTTTAGTTAAGACAAATTCCTGGAAGCCGCCTTCTGCGCCATCGATTGGATGATCAACGATTAGGATCTTTTCTTATATCCGAACCTCTTGGATACACGTTTCTTCTTCCCAATAAAAGATAAAAAAATATTCATGAGATTAAAAAAAATATTATTAGTACATGATTTGATTATATGATTCAGAGCCGGCCAACAAAGGTTTCTTCTAATCTATCATAGTCTAATCTTGATCGACACCGTATTTATTTGAACTTAAGAGTATTGAACCTATCTGATCCCGAAGAGGTCGAACCTTATCAACCTGGAAGAGATTGAATCTTGTAAAATTGGTGTTCTCGACAAAAGTTACTTTGATACTTAAGTTAATTTTTTATCTGGAAGATTCAATCAATAACTTAAATAGTATTAAGAAAAAAAGTCTTTCAAAACAAACATGGGGAACCCTTTTATAATAAACCCTCTAAATCGTTATTTTATGTGATCAATACAAATAAGGAGAGGCAATTTATTGAGGTATTGGTCATGTGCTAATCATATGTAAACACATGTTGGGTATATGTCAACCACATATTGCATCAAATATCGATCACATGTCACTAATGTGTTAGTCGTGTGACACTAAGGTGGTACTAATATGGTGCTAGGATAGCAATCGCGTGGTGTTAATGTGGCAACCATATAGTATTGATATGATGTCATTTCATTTTTCTCATAACACATACCCTCCAACTTTTGGGAGAACAATGAAATTAGGTTGGGAAGTAACACTTGGTTTATATTAACGGTTGATACCATAAGCTAGAGGAAATATTATGGTTGATGAAGGCTAAGTTACCTTAGATAGAGGTGTGTGTTAGCTGATTGGGTCTAGTACGTCGATGCCCAATGGATTGACTAAGCCAAGCATGGTGGCACACAATGAGCTGACGAAGCTAGGCGTGGTGACACACAGTGGGTCGAGGGGGGCAAGCACGATGATGCTTAATGGGCCGATGAGGTCGAACACGATGGTACACAATGGGTTGAAGGGGTTGGGCGAGGTGGTGCATAGTGGGCTGACAAGATCGAGTACGATGGCACACAATGAGCTGATGAGGTAGAACGCATGATTAACATGAATATAGTGCTTCATGATTAACATGACTAAACTAGGAGATTTGTTGATGGGACATGTTGTGTTGATAAGCACCTTCATCTGATCTTATTGTGGGTGGCTTCATTGATTGATGTCAATGGCCAACCTAGCTATCAATTTGAGTATGGACAAGAGAGCCCTGATATCATGTTGAGTTGCCACCATGCTTCTGATATCAACTATGTAAATAATAGATATATAATATTTTTTTAATTCAAAATACTTTCTTGATTGATGGTCAAGTCTATGGACTTGAAAATTGAACAGTTACATTGAAGTATGTAGATAGGGAATCTATTATCAACATGTGATTACCATGTGGGAACTAAGTCACCTTTCACCCATCTATTTCCGTAGATTAAGATTCAAAATAGGTAAACACAAACTTCATTCTCATTCATTATGACAAGGAAAGCAATCACAAACTTCATTCTCATACTTTACAACAAGAAGCAAACACAAACTTCATTCTAATTCATTATGATAAGGAAAGCAATCACAAACTTCATTCTCATACTTTACGACAAGAAAGTTAATTTCAAACTTTATTTTTATTTAAGATATATAGAAAAAACTCTTTTTGAGCTACTGGAATTCATATTTGAGGATCTCAGATTATTAACTTAAGCGTGAAGATCAAATCGAGAAACTATTATATATATATATATATATATATATATATATATATATACGGGGACTTTATTCACTACCCAAATATCGTCTTGACATACTCATAGATTTTGACGGGGTCGTAAAGGGAGTTGGCGACACTCTCCCTCTCCAGGCACCGCTTGCTCCACGCCACCAGCTTGGGGACCGCCTCCTCGACGCTGAACCCGGCGTAGGTCTCGCAGCTGTAGAACCAGGTCGTGAAGGGGACGAGCGCGATGTCAACGAAGCCGAAGACGTCGCCGCCGAAGTACTTCTTGTCCCCCAGCTCGCACTCCAGGAGCCTGAGGATCTCGATGAACTCCTCCTTGGCCGCCTCCTGGGCCTCGCCCTTGAGCTTCCACAGATTCAATGCAGATTCACAGACCTGATGGGTAAAACCATTGAAAGGGAACTAAGAATATGGTATTCCGGAGAGGAGAACATAGATCGAACACATGGAGGGCATCGGCGCACCTTCTTGTCGACGAAGTCGGCCCAGAAGCGGGCCTGGGCGCGGGCGTAGCGGTCGGCGGGAAGCAGCGGCGCGCGGTCGGGCCACGCCTCGTCAATGTACAGGACGATGATCAGGGACTCGCACACAGGCTTGCTGTCGTGGATGAGGACGGGGATCTTCTTGTACACGGGGTTGGACTCGAGCAGCAGGGGGCTTTTGTCCCCCCTGATTTTCTCCTCCCTGTACTCGTACTCCACTCCCTTCTCCGCCAGCGCGATCCGGCACCGCTGCCCGAACGGGCTCGCCCAGAAGTCCAGCAGCACCACCGCCTTCATCGCTCTCACTTTGTGTCTCTCCGTCTCTGTCTCTCTCCGCTCTCTCACTCATTAAATAGAGGGGCAGTGACGCAGAAGATGGCGATGGGGTCTCGGCTGCCGCCTCGACTTTTGTTCGCGCCTGTTTTTGACAGGATCGTGGTGAATGTACCATTCCGTCACCCATCTCCCTCGTTATTCATGGGTCCCAGTGGCCGACACTCTCCTCCAACGACAAGAGGGTTTGCAATCTGGGTACCGATCAAGAGAGTGGCACAAAATATAACTCTCTGGAGAGTGAGGTCATCGCATGCGTCACAGATAAAATGATCCAGAAAAAAATATATATCGGGAAGTGGATTCTATGAAACACAGTGGTAATCCGAAGAGGAGAACAAGAGTCGAACACATGGGAGGCATCGGCGTAAGGAGAACGCACCTTCATTTCGACGAAGTCGGCCAAGAAGCGGGCCTGGGCGCGGGAGCAGGGTTCGGCGGGAAGCAGCGGCGCGCGGTCGGGCCACGCCTCGTCGATGTACTGGACGACGATCAGGGACTCGCACACGGGCTTGCCATCGTGGATGAGGACGGGGATCTTCTTGTGCACGGGGTTGGACTGCAGCAGCAGCGGGCTCTTGTCCCCCAGGATGTTCTCCTCCCTGTACTCGTACTCCACTCCCTTCTCCGCCAATGCGATGCGGCACCGCTGCCCGAACGGGCTCGCCCAGAAGTCCAGCAGCACCACCGCACTCATCGCTCTCTTTTTGTCCATCTCGTCTCTGTCTCTCTTTCTCCGCTTTCACACTCTCTAAATAGAGCGGCAGTGAAGCAGAAGATACGATGTGGGCTGCGCCTTAAGGTGACCGCTACCACCACGATTTATTTCTCGCTTGCTTTTTACAGGATCGCCCAGAAGTCCGGCAGCACCACCGCCTTCATCACTCTTTTTGTCTCTGCGCTCTCTCACTCTCTAAATCGAGGGGCGGTGAAGCAGAAGATGACGATGTGGGCAGCGCCTTCCTGTCACGGATAAACTTTGAAACAGGGTGTTTGATGTAATGCTTATGTATGTCCGTGTCTTTCTATTTGTTTATACTTTGCACAGCATAAAGAGGGATGACCAAAGACTTAATAGTCTCATTTTAATGGGTTTGGTGGCCCATTTAGGCTTATAAATAAAGGTTGTGTCATGTGGATACGTGTGAGAGATTTTTGGTCTGTAATGGACCATTTTATCCTTTTGTTGTGCAACTATTCTGAGCTTGTAAAGTCTGTTTGTAATTTGTATTGTCTATGAAGTGTTTCATGGATTGTTTGCTTGTGGATCCCGAGTGAGGCGCTTTCTCTAACTCGTTTTCTCTTTTGTAGGTCCTAAGGGACCGTGGGAGGTTTCGGGGAGGCTGACCTTTGCGGACGGACACGCAAAGGTGTCGCACGACTTAGGCAATTCCAGCTAAGGCCGTGACAGATGGTATCAGAGCGGGACAAGCACTCATAGAAACACTTGACATGCAAATGTGGGGGACCTAGCGGGGCTGCGTTTAGGGCAATCAGCATGCGCGCGACCGTTTTGGAGAAAACAAGCATAGAGATGTAGGGAAAAAGAGTCGCTCAGAGGAGCGGACATCCGAGATTGGCATTCAGAGGAATGGCCAACCCTTCGCGCAAGAGGCACCACGAGGACAAACAAGCTGGGAAGAATGCGGAGCGCACAAAGGTTGGGATAGCTGAGTTCGAGCTACGGCTCGACGTTGACAACAACACTTGATGGTGCTCAAGGCAAGCGAGGCGCTTGGTAAAGGACGAGACCATGCAAGGTGGAATGAGTTGTTCGGCGACCGAAAGAGTTGTGCAAAGCTCACAGAGGTGAGGGGAATTGCTAGCTCAAAGAATTTGGTACTCATGCAAGGGCTTGTATGCGGACGATGGACTATTCGTGGCCATCCCAAAGCGACCGGAACTCGGCGCCATGGAGCATTGAAACTTTCTCTTCGGCATGCGAAGGATACGTCCCTAGGAGGCTGAAATGTGCAGCAAGTTCAGCATGTTGCTAGGCCTTGAGGGGTGCAGCGGGGGCTGTATTGACGTGGAGTCGCAATCTAGCAAGTGCGTTTGCAGGAGGCAGAACAATGCGCAACTTGTTCAGCAAATCGGAGTAGTCCAAGGGGATGGTGGTCTCCGAATCGAAGAGAGA